AGTTGCAGCGATGAGACAAGATCGAAATTGGGGAGACAAAGTAAAATAAAGTAAAATAAAATAAAAAGAGAAGACTCTACTAAAAACAAGCGTATCAATGAACATGACTGTGGAAAATGAATGCTCCGTTTCTGTACCGCTAGCAGCATTTCAGCCACAGACTGTCCAGTCTGTGTTTTACAAAATGTGTAATGAGCATAAAAAGATGCATTTATATCACGAATTGGAAACTTGTTCTCATTCTGACAAAATATGCATCTTCTTAACCAGGTAGGCCACTTGACTTCAATATCTTAACAAAGTGAATAGGTCATGTTGTTCAAACAGTTGGAGACGGACAAGAGGGTGTTTTCATAACAGTTCAACTGTTCTACCTTGTTAGCAAGCAAATAGATTCAAGTTGTTTAGACTTTAAATATAAAGATTAACTGGTTTCTCACTAGCACGTTGGCTTGCGCTTGAGAGATTGTTTATGAGAGTGTGTTAATTTTCTATAACGCCTGCTACAAGAACTTGGTCATTATTAGTGGATGTGCATTGTGCATGGTTCTGGTTAAATAAATAAAAAATATATAATTTTTCATTGACAGTCTTGAAGGCCAGATCAGTGATTATTGGAAAAAAGCAGGTTCAAAAATTTGGTAAAATAATTAAATGATTAGTGAGTCTTATGGTTGTGGGAGGCTTATATTTAGTATAGATATAATTTTACATGCAGTGTATTGACCTTTAATTGTGCAACAAGGCTAATTTACAGAAAACAAAAAAGAGATATAGATCATGAATCACCCATGTTTGAAAAAAATGGAGATATGATTTTTAGGCCATATCGCCCAGCCCTACACAGTAAGCAACATAGTGTAGCAATGATAGGAGAGACCTCAGTTGGTAGAGCATGGCGCTTTCACCACCAGGGTTGTGGGTTTGATTCCCGGGGCCACCCATACGTAAAATGTATGCACACATGACTAAGTCACTTTTGATAAAAGTGTCTGCTAAATGGCATATATTATTACTAGAGGAGTTAAGCCTAGTTCATTCAAAAGCCACATTTTCCAAATTGTGTAACTAGCAAGAAGGCCTAATCTATTGAAATCATGAGACCCAAAAATGTCTAAGTTACTTACTTTATTTACCGGTCAGCTAGCATTAGCTGCATTTGGTCTACATGAAAATGAATAGTGAAAGAGTCACTTGGGTCATTCCACCTCAAAAAGCACAAGAAAGAGGATTTGACACCCACCATCTCAGATTGTTCTGAAATCGTTTTGGTTGTTAGAAACATAAGATTAGCATTCCTACAACATTGTTTTGTTCAAATATAATTTGATCTCTAAGAAATTAAGAGAATTGATTGCACCCAAATTGGCCATTTTAATTCATAGGATTCATTTTCATATTTAATAAATGTAGTATCTAACATCCAATTTGGACCAAACTTTTTCGAACATTGAGTTAGACATGAGGAATCCAAAGAAATTGTCAAAAGCCAACCACGGACTCCCACACCAATCCCACCCCAACAACGAGTATATAGTATCAGTTCTCTATGTCTGACAAGTAGTATGGAGTTGCAGCTTGGAGTATTGTTTCTTCATCCTATGTAATGTATTCTCATTGAATTTGGTGATGTTTTTTTTCCCATTCAGAGAAATTAGTCATTTAAGTTGTTAGGTTCATGTCCCATCCTACATCCTGATATTACCAGGTCCTAACCACTAGATGGTGCTGTTTCCTCTATTTGGTGAAAAAGGTTTGAAGAAATACCACCCTCAATGTTAAAGGGATAGTTCACCCAAATAAATTTTTTTTTATTGTTTCCTTACCCTGTAAGCAGCCTATGGACAAGGTATGACAGCAACCCATGCTTTGGTTTCGTTGGCCACTGTTTCAACGAAACCAATGCAAGTCAATGGTACCTTTATTAGTATTTTCACACTTCATATCCAAATCATTCTAAAGTATCAAAAAAATGATTGTGTAACTCCATGATGTTACTTATAGATGGATATGAAGCCTGAAAATGCCAATATAGGTACCATTGACTTGCATTGGATGTGCCACAAATGTAAAAAAGTTAACATTTGAAACAGTGGCCAGTCAGGTAAACAAATCCAAAGCATGGGTTGCTGTCATACCTTGTTCATAGACTGCTTACAGGTTAAGGAAACGAATATGTAATTTCTAATTTGGGTGAACTATCCCTTTAACATTGAGGGGGAGGATTCTATTTTTTTGTTAAATCACCTAATAGCAGGAACAGCATCATCTCGTGGTCAGAACCTGGTAATATCAGGAGGTAGGATGGGACATAAACTTAACTTCAATGACTAATTTCTCTGAACAGGGTAAAAAAACATCTTCAAATTCACTAAGAATACATTACATAGGATGAAGAAACAATACTCCAAGCCGCAACTCCATACTACTTGTCAGCCATAGAGAACTGATACTATATACTCATTGGGGTGGGATTGGTGTGGGGTGTGGCGGAGTCCATGGGTGTCTTTTGCCCATTTCTTTGGATTCCTCATGTCTTACTCATTGATAGAAAAAAGTTTGGCCCAAATCAGATGATAGGTACTATATTAATTAAATATTATATTAATCCTATAAAATTGCCAATTTGGATGCAATCAATTTGCTTAATTTCTCAGATATCAAATTCTATTTCAACAAAATAACATTGCAGGAATGTTAATCTTTTCTGTTTCTAACTACAGAAAGGATTCAGAACAATCTGAGATGGTGGGTGTCATGGCTTGCTTAAATGACATTGAGCGACCCACTTGTTAACTTGACTAAAACAATTACTAATCAAGAACATTAGCTATCAAGTAGGTTAAATGTATTATTTGAGTAAATGACATAATTGTGTCAAAATAATGAAAAAGATTTACAGCAGCAGGAAAGAAAAATTAAGCCTGTTTTATACAATGTATTTAGGCTACTTTTGGTTGGGTTTGTCAGTTACACTGATTAAAAACCAATGCACACTTTGGTCACGCATATGACTGTTCATATGAACCACATTGTGGCACAGAGCCACTCTAGCATGGTTCTTTGGAGGGCATTTCACCGCTCAACACCAATGTTCTCTGCACAAAATAAATTTTACATCGAGAAATTTATAAATGCATAGTTTACACAGCATTGAGACAAGTTTAAAAGTAACATCATACTTATTCATGTTTAATAGTGGCTCATCGAGGGGGGAAAATAAAAAAATGACACACTTGTCATCTGACAGTTGATGGTGGCATTGACATTGTTTGTTGACATTGCACTGTCAAGTGCACATCCCTCAACGATTATGTTCACAAGTTCAACAATTTGTCTAATTACCCTACATTTGCACTAAATAATTAAAGTTAGCTGCTCAAATAGGGCACAAAAAAACAAACATGTAGGCCAGGCAGCCAATAGCGTGCCAGAAACAGAAGTTAAACATGTTAACGTTATTTCTATGTGAAGTTAACTAGCTAGCTAAACAACATAGCTCTATGGTAGCTAGGTATTAGTTGAACCAGTATCTGGGCAGAGGAGACGATGATCTCGTCATATTCATTGTCTCCTCTGCCCAGGCACTGGTTCAGGTATTAGTATATTAGATACTACTATTATATTAGTTAGGGACTGTAGTTGCATCTCAGACTTTGACACCATGGGCAAATTGACAGTTGGCTAGCTAGCTCTGGGAATGTTGGATTCCAGATTGCATCACATAAAACCAAGTGAATAACATGACATAACTACAGATTCAAACACAAAATATATTATCTGACTGTGAAATTAGCTGTAAAAGATGCCCAGCTCACCAAAATGTAGCTAATTTTGCAATCAATCGAAGAGTTGCTAATATTAGCGCTAGCCCAAGTAAGCTTGCTAGCTAGCTAGCTGGCCAGCCATGTCTTCCAATGAAGCTGGCAAAAGCACAGCATAAGTCATTAACAGCCTTAATAGAAACATGATGTATTTACACTTACAAGGGTCCTGGACGTTGGGGATGCAAATGTGACGGCAGACAGATGAAAATCTGTTGAATGTGGCAGATATTAAAGTCAGGAGATCGTGAAAAAATAACGAATGCAATGCTCACTGACTGTGGAGGTCTTTACCAGGTGCTTCCATGTCTGTTTACCAGAATGCATTCTGGGACATGTACGTCACTTCACCAGCACGCACGCACGTTGCAGCCCTGCCAGCACGCGGTTTCAAAATGCTGAAACTGGCGCCATTTTGTGTCTTCTCAAAGGGGCCAAGTAACAATTTCCAGCTAAATAAAGGCACCGTAATGGTGAACAAAGAAGTGCAGTTTCATGGGATTCGCATGCTGTCAAAATTAACACGAGGCCTTTTGACCAATCCATGTCCCTTTATTAAGAGGTGGGACATTTCCAGTAGCCTTGTTTATTTATGCCACGGAGTTTCCAAACGTGTCTTTGTTGGAGCTTTCAGACAACTGGGAACTCGGGGGAAAAAACGAGGTCAAATCATAGCGCCAGTGTTCTTCAGGTCGGAGCTCTAAAAAGATGCCCGAGTTTCTGACTGGAATTCCGAGTTGGATGAACGTTCAAATCGGAGTTCGTTTTTTAACGAGTCCCAAGTTGTCTTGAACGCACTGAAGTCGGAGATTTCCGAGTTTCCACTTCCGAGTTGTATGAACGTGGCATATTTCCTTGAATAAATAAAGTTGAATTCAAAGAAGAAACTAATCTTGATGGGCAAATGGGTGCTGTAACTGATGGTGAGATTGTTAATTGTTTGATATTACCCAATTTGTTGAAAATGGTTTCTTAATCATGAAGTAGCTACCTGTCTTAAATAGTTCTGCGTATTTGAAATGGCCATTTTAATCTTGTCTTGAAGGCCTCAGCTACATTGATTGGCTAGCTAACGTTAGCAAGCGACCGTTACATGTATTTGTTAGCTATGCTAACTAGCTAGTGAACTATTGTGTACAGTATTTCATGAGTACGTGATGATGATAGGCGCTACATATCTCTTGTGTTTAACTAACTACATAATTTTACATAAGTGTGCATGGCGGACCTTTCTGAGTTTGTCATGAACAAGCGATATGAATGTGTTACTAGTTAGCAGACATGAAGCTAGGGTTAGCTTGCAAAGGTTGTTGGTCTGGAGGTGGTCAATGTGCTCATTGCTAACTTCTCCATTACAGACGAAGTTATTCGAAAACGTCTTCTCATTGATGGAGACGGGGCTGGAGACGACCGACGTATCAATGTTCTTTTGAAGAGCTTTACTAAATGGTGCAATTCAACTGGGTCGCCTCAAGAAGGGTAAATGTGACTGCTCTGCCCTGTGTGATAAGCCGTTGTTGCTACTATCTAACCACCAATCATTGCCTTTAATACCAGGAGAAGTTGATTTGACTGACTATTTTATATATATATATATATATATCATTTTTATTTAACCTTTTAATTTAACAGAGAAGACCTATTGAGACATAGGTCTCTTTTTCAAATGCACCCTGTATAGTCCCCTGTAGTTCAGTTGGTAGAGCATGGCGCTTGCAACGCCAGGATTGTGGGTTTGTTTCCCACGGGGGCCAGTATGAAAATGTATGCACTCACTAACTGTAAGTCGCTCTGGATAAGAGCGTCTGCTAAATGACTAAAATGTAAATAATACAACACAAATATACACATTATATGGATGGATAGAATCTCACAAATCACCCAGAAAAACAGTTTGATTCCTCCACAAAGAAGTTCCCAATCAACACTTTAAATTGCCTGAATGGCACCAGAACATCAAGATGAAATGTATTTAGAATTTTGTTCCAGCAATACAGTGCATTAAAACTAAAAGCAGATTTACCTAGCTCGGTGGAGAACCTAGGAACCTCAAGTTAACCAATCCTGTGAAGGGGTTCAGCAACTCTGATGTCCACACTTCAACAGCAAAGTTGGATAAGACAACGTTTTTGAAGTAGGGCCTTGTAAACAAAAGGAGTAATGTGGAGATCTACGGGTCTTCAGTGAAGTCCAGCCAACCTTTTGATACAGAATGCAGAGATGAGTATCAAAACTGTCACCTGTAACAAAATGAAGGGCACTATTGTAGATGGCATCCAAAGGTTTAAGATTAGTAGCAGCTGCACTTTGATAAATATCACCATAATCAAGAATGGATAAAAAGGTATACTGAATAATCTGCTTTCTACTGCTTAGTGAAAGGCATGATCTGTTTCTGTAGAAATAGCCAACTTTAAATCATAGCTTCTTAAGCAGTATTTATATATATGTAGTTCATCTGAAACATTCTTACAAGAGTTTAAAAACATGTATTTGGTTTTGTCCGTATTAAGCACAAGTTTTAAATCAGCATAGCTAATAAATCTTACTGGTTTTGACACAGCCAGATCAACAATCGGAGCAATAGCATACATAATAGTATCATCCGCATATACACTACATGACCAAAAGTATGAGGACACCCGTTCGTCAAACATCTCATTCCAAAATCATTGGCATTAATATGGAGTTGGTCTCCCTTTGTTGCTTTAACAGCCTCCACTCTTCTGGGAAGGCTTTCCACTAGATGTTGGAACATTGCTGCGGGGACTTGCTTCCATTCGGCCACAAAGCATTAGTGAGGTTGGACGATTAGGCCTGGCACGCAGTCAGCTTTCCAATTCATCCCAAAGGTGTTTCGATGGGGTTGAGATCAGGGTTCTGTGCAGGCCAGTCAAGTTCTTCCACACCGATCTCAACAAACCATTTCTGTATGGACCTTGCTTTGTGCACGGGGGCATTGTCATGCTGAAATAGGAAAGGGCCTTCCCCAAACTGTTGCCACAAAGTTGGAAGCACAGAATCGTCTAGAATGTCGTTGTATGCTGTAGCGTTAAGATTTCCCTTCACTGGAACTAAGGGGCCAAGCCCGAACCATGAAAAACAGCCCCAGACTATTATTCCTCCTCCATCAAACTATACAGTTGGCACTATGCATTGGGACAGGTAGCGTTCTCCTGGCATCCGCCAAACCCAGTTTTGTCCATCGGACTGCCAGATGATCACTCCAGCGAATGCTTTTCCACTACTCCAGAGTCCTATGGCGGCGAGCTTTACACCACTCCAGCAGACGCTTGGCATTGCACATGGTGATCTTAGGCTTGTGTGCGGCTGCTCGGCCATGGAAACCCATTTCATGAAGCTGCCGACGAACAGTTCTCGTGCTGTCGTTGCTTCCAGAGGCAGTTTGGAACTTGGTATTGAGTGTTGGAACCGAGGACAGGCATTTTTCTTTTAACGCGCTTCAGCACTCGGCGGTCCCGTTCTGTGAGCTTGTGTGGCCTACCACTTCGCGGCTGAGCTGTTGATGCTCCTAGATGTTTCCACTTCACAATAACAGCACTTACAGTTGACCGGGACAGCTCTAGCAGGGCAGACATTTGACGAACTGACCTGTTGGGAAGGTGGCATCCTATGACGGTGCCACGTTGAAAGTCACTGAGCGCTTCAGTAAGGCTGTTCTACTGCCAATGTTTGTCTATGGACATTGCATGGCTGTGTGCTTGATTTTAAACACCTGTAATCAACGGGTGTGGCTAAAATAGCCGAATCCACTAATTTGAAGGAGTGTCCACATACTTTTGTGTAGATTCATTTTACAATTTTTAACAGATTGACCAATGGTGTTTGACTGTTTTCATTGACGTTTACATCAACTGTCATGTAAACTATCTCAAAGTGAAATTATAATGTATTCCTCTTTGCAGATTCACACAGTACCAGAGGATGTTGGGTACATTGGCACAATGTGAATTCTCAATGGGGAAGACCTTGCTGGTGTATGACATGAACCTCCGGGAAATGGAAAACTATGAGAAAATATACACAGACATAGGTGAGAGAAAAGACACTTGCATCTCAGTCCGTTACACCAGGGTTTCCCAAACGTATTCCTTCCCCCCTCCCGCCCTACACAGGATTCAAATAATCAAAGCTTAATGATGAGTTGGTTATTTGAATCAGTTGTGTTAGTGCTAGGGAAAAAAACTAAACGTGCATCCGGAGGGTCAGGACAGAGTTTGGGCAACCCTGCATTACACTATGTTCTACTGTCAACCCATAACTTAGTCAACACTTAGTCATGCCATATTTGATTATCTTCTTTCTCTTAAGAACGAAACATCACATCAGCACATGATAAAATATCAGAATGCAAAAAGGAGATCCAGAGGGCAAAGAGAATACGAAAGAATCGTCAAGGTGAGGTTAACCTGGGTGCACTTAAATATGTATTAAAGTGCAAGATGGCTGTATACTTTTTGGGGAAATTATCTATTGTTTTTAACTTGCACAGTTATTGATTAGTCTTGTGTCAATACTTTTAGTATAGGAATCTGGCAGAGTACTTTTCATGCTAGAGTACACTTTAAAATGTTCTTTGTCCTTTTAATTTTGCATTTGGCAGAGTATGATGCACTGGCAAAGGTCATCCAGCAACATCCAGATCGCCATGAAACACTAAAGTGAGTTTACTTCCTCATTTCTCTACACATTTTAATGGAGGCAGCCAACAGGTATACATGTACATGCATATATTTCGATTTTAGATGTGCGCTTTTCTTTTTACCACAGGCAGTTGGAGGCGCTTGACAAAGAGCTCCAGCAGTTGTCTCACATCAAAGAGAATGTGGAAGATAAGGTAGGCCTGTTTCCTGCGTGCTTTGTTTGATTGATATATTATCTTAATTATAGATTTGTATGGTGTTTTCTTAATATATTGTCTGTTTGTCCTTCAGCTGGAGTTGAGGAAGAAACAGTTCCATGTGCTCCTCAGTACCATCCAGGAACTACAGCAGACACTGGAGAGTAAGTATGACTGTAGCCGTTGTGCTCTCCTATGGCAAGATGGGCTATGAGTATGCTGGACTGTGTTTTGTCGGTTATTGATTGTGATCCACCTCCACTACTCCTGTGTAATGATGTTTATATATTCTGGTTTCTCTCAGATGATGAGAAGTCAGAGAATGATGACACTCAGGAAAGCTCCATGGAGAATGGAGAATGAATGCATCTCAGCTGTCAATGTAATTTAGTTATGTACTATTTTTTTGTTTTTGATAATGCTTTTCATTTGAGCAATGAAGTTTCACTTGAGTTTGTCTTGAGTTGACATTTTAGTTTTTATAATACCTGTATGTTTTTTTTTTGCTGAATAAAGTTGTAAATTGCTCTTCCACATTCTCTCTTCATTAGAATGTCAGTCGGGTTAGGGATGTTTATGAATAAGCTGTCACTGGGTGGGAGTGTAGCTAGGGGTTATTGTTTTCCTATATTCACCTTGGCACTAACATGACTTTGGTTTGAGGATCCTCTCACAAATGTTTATGTATACACCAGGCGTTGGAACCGGTTCAGGGAACAGAACCGAAAACTACATTTTTCAAGGAACGGAACCTGGGACGAAAGTGATCCATACTGTTCAGGAACAGAACCGTTATTTAAAAAACATGGGAACCGGTTAATAATGTTATTTTACGTTCCAGGCATTTTTTTCCGAGTCCCACAACAAAACGCGACAAAGCGCCTAACAAAAGCCCTCATTCTGCCACTCAAACTTATTGCAAGCTGAAAATCTTTGTTTGTTTAGGCTACCTGCCCCTCTCCCCCATAAGCATATGCTACTGTACTGATGTTACAAGCATAATTCAGAAGGTAGGTAGAGAGATTTTGATTATATAGAGAATGGATTAACTTTTTCAATGCTAGTTATGGATACAATAGGTCTAGTTATCACGTTACACGTTAGATTTATCAACTACAAAAAGGTAAGATGTGTTTTTAATTCTGGTGCTACTCTGCACACAAGCTTGTTAACTAGCTAGCTAGCTCAAAGGACATTCAAAGTTCCTCCATAGAAGCCGCTCCTCCCAGGTATAATTCTGTGGACCTAATTCAGGCAATGCATGTCATGACAAGATGCCCAGCGCTTCAAGCCTCCTCAACCCTCTCGCGCTCTCCCATCCCCAAAATTTCAGTCGCATCTTGCACCATAGGCTACACTTGTCTGCCCATCACGCATGTAAACAACTAGCTTGCCTGATCTATATGCGCTGATTGGAGAAGTAATTTGACGAGAAAAATTATAAAATTAAAGCCACAGGTTAAAATTAAACGACTTAAACCGGTACTTTTTTGGGGGTTCAAACCGTTTCAGAACATTATTTTGCTGGTTGGAACACTGTTATATACTAGCTCTGACCACATATTTTTGTTTTTCATTATCTTTAATTTTGCATTTGAACACCGAAACATTGATCATAAGCAAGTTTGCCACACCCTATAAAAAGTAAAGCATAAAACCTCAACTCTAAGGACTGGTTTGAGAGATTCTATGGTGGCAAAAAGACAAACATAATATTGAATGGACACAATGAATACAGTAACAATATAACATTTTTATGTTTACATAATGCATCTTCATATAAACCAAAAAAGGTTAAAAAAAACTAAAACATGGTTGCAAAGTAACTGTAATAGAGCTCGAATTACAGTATCAAACCTGTTGTTCCTGACAGGTGTCATTCCTATGTAATGCACCTGTAGTTCAATTGACCAAGAAAAGACCACCCACCCTAAATGTTAACAAGCAGTTGTCCATACTAGAACTCCACTAGGTAGCTGCGTGCCTTTTTCAGGCGTTTGAGCTTACTCTAGTGCAGCACTCTTGCTGCCGATGTCAAAGTCCTCCAGCAGCTGCTCGATGTTGTCTTTCTCCTGCAGCATCTGAAGCATCTCCCTCTGCAGCTGGAAAGCAGACTCCTGCAGCGAATCACCAGCGCAATCTGAAACAGCCAGACGCTGACTGGCAATCTAATGAAGATGAACACACCCATTATTAAATATTAGTGACCGATACAGTGATCTACCATCACTTTTGTCTCATTCAAGCTTTAGCCTTCTAACAATGTTAGAGGACATTCACATGTCATGACATAAACTAGCTCTCAGGAAATTGGCGAATTAGTTTAGGAGTTCCATTCCACCTCTGAAATTCAGCCAGTGCCCTCCCATCTATAGTCAGAAGAGATAGTGGAAATGTAGGTAGGCTATAGGTTCTTCTCATCTTTAGGGCTGTAGGCCACCATTTAAGATGGTGATTTACACAGTGTTTACGCAGTAAAAGGACTTGAGGTGCATGGTTATCTGTGCTAAAGATAGTACTCCTCTCCGATACAACTAGGTCGTCCTTCTCCGCCACCTGTCCTGTGTGTACACTATCAGCTCCATCTTGAGCTGGGTCCTCAACATGGACTCAGCCGTAGACTCATTCACCTGCTTGATGACCTTGATTTTAGTCAGCAGGTTAAACAAACAACAACTCAGTAATTCGTCATTAAATAAATGTAGTTGGTGCAACATAAGTCAGGCATCTTAATCACATGCTGGTTGACGGTCAACTGTGGGAATGTTTCATGGTGTGAGGTCAGTGGCGACCCGTCATTCAGGGCATGTTATTTTGGCATTAATACTTGTCCCATATCAGTTTGCAAACAATGTAAAAAAATAAATAATAATAATAATTGAGTTAATAAAGCCGCATACAAACATTGTCTCGTTTTTACTTTCTTGAGCAAGGCAGCTCCAAAATGCAGGTGTTTCAGCCTAGCTCAGTGCTTTCTGTGGTGGTGGGGCAGCCAGCGGAAAATAGGGGTTGGTAATGTAATCCTTGTCATATGAAGAGAAATTATAAATAAAACTTATCGGTGCTCATCGGCCATTGGACATAAACATTACACAACAAGTTGGAAATCGCAAATTCAACAATGAGTGGTTTGGAAGGAATCAGTGGCTAACTGCAAGCATTGCAAAGCAATCACTAGCCTGCTATTCAGTGGAGTGGATGTGTGGTCCCAAGTCTGGGTTTAAGGGTCTCTTTTCCAAGCTTAAAAGGATAAACATTCAACATTGGCCATGCTGTCAATTCAGCATGACTTCTGCCGCTTTCAAAACAACTGGAAACTCGGAACTGGGAAATCTTAGACTTCAGTGAGTTCAAGACAACTGGGAACTCGGGAAAGAAATACGTTTTGAATCCAACTTGGAATTCCAAGTTGGGAACTCGGGCCTCTTTCTAGAGCACCGACCTGAAGATCACTAACGTCATGATTCAACCTTGTTCCCAGTTGTCTTGAAAGCACTTTAAATCCAGAGAATGCCAGACTTTGATGACAATGTTTGATGACAAAATTTGCCCACGAAAGACCGCCACTCCACCTTCCTGTTCAAGTGAGCACAGCACAACAAGGTGAGTCAAAAAATGTATTGTATGCTGCTGCATAAATTATGTAATATGCCAGGGAGATATGTATACTGTAGCTAAGAAAGCAATACTAAGTGTATGTTGTGTAGTAAGCTGTTAGTAGCCAATGTGCCTAAATAATTTGGTCCCTTTTCCTCTCATAATTTAGCCTACTGTTCTGACTTGGTGGTGCACATGTAGCCTGTTTTAGAGAAATGTCATCATCGAATATTGTAAGAGCTTTCATTGTCTGCTTATATGCCCCTTTATTTATCCTACGGTTCTGACTTGATGTACAGGGAGAATGCTGTAAGAACGGCCCATGTTCTGAATTCGGTCGCTGTACATTTCAAAAGTGCTGAACAAATAGTTATATTGACTACGTCCTAGCTTGCTCGTTAATGTCTTAATCGAAATTACTGATTGCCTCTTATCTGCTCGTCGTCCCCTTATGTCATAGTTTGTACATCTCAATTGTCAGTAGAAACCACATTTGTTTAAGCAAGTCAGCCAAATCAGCTATGCTTTTTTAAAAGGCAGTAAATGAGGCTGAATTAACTGTTTCGCTGCCATACCTGATAGCCAGGTGTAACAGTGGTAAGGTGTCGGGACTGTGGAGTTGCAATCTACTGTAGAGATAGCCTGCAGAGCTCTATCATACTATCCAGGTCTGTGCCCAAACAGTTTGAGCTCCTTCTTCTAAAAATCCACCTTTCCAGAAATAAGTCTCTCACTGTTGCCACTTGCTACAGACCCCCCTCAGCCCCCAGCTGTGACCTGGACACCATATGTGAATTGATTGCCCCCCATCTATCCTCAGAGTTCGTACTGCTTGGTGACCTAAACTGGGATATGCTTAACACCCTGGCCATCCTACAATCCAAACTAGATGCCCTCAATCTCACACAAATTATCAAGGAACCTACCAGGTACAACCCTAAATCCGTTAACATGGGCACCCTCATAGATATCATCCTGACTAACTTACCCTCTAAATACACCTCTGCTGTCTTCAACCAGGATCTCAGCGATCACTGCCTTATTGCCTGCGTCCATAACGGGTCTGCGGTCAAACGACCAACCCTCATTACTGTCAAACGCTCCCTAAAACACTTTAGCGAGCAGGCCTTCCTAATTGACCTGGCCCAGGTATCCTGGATGGATATCGATCTCATTCCGTCAGTAGAGGATGCCTGGTTGTTCTTTAAAAGTGCTTTCCTCTCAATCTTAAATAAGCATGCCCCATTCAAAAAATTCAGAACTAAGAACAGATATAGCCCCTGGTTCTCCTCAGACTTGACTGCCCTTGACCAGCACAAAAACATCCTGTGGCGTACTACATTAGCATCGAATAGCCCCCGCGATATGCAACTTTTCAGGGAAGTACACATATACACAAGCAGTTAGGAAAGCAAAGACTAGTTTTTTCAAACAGAAATTTGCATCCTGTAGCACCAACTCCAAAATGTTTTGAAACACTGTTAAGTCCATGGAGAATAAGAGCACCTCCTCCCAGCTGCCCACGGCACTGAGGCTAGGAAACACTATCACCACCGATAAATCTACAATAATCGAGAATTTCAACAAGCATTTTGCTACAGCTGGCCATGCTTTCCACCTGGCTACCACTACCCCGGCCACCAGCTCTGCACCCTCCGCTGCATCTTGACCTAGAGTATGTGGATAACTACAAATACCTACGTGTCTGGTTAGACTGTAAACTATCCTTCCAGACTCACATTAAGCATATCCAATCCAAAGTAAAATCTAGAATCGGCTTCCTATTTCGCAACAAAGCCTCCTTCACTCATGCTGCCAAACATGCCCTCGTTAAACTGACTATCCTACTGATCCTTGACTTTGGCGATGTCATTTACAAAATAGCCTCCAACACTCTACTCAGCAAATTGGATGTAGTCTATCACAGTG